CAAAAAAAATGCCAATCGTCTGTATCCCTCAAGGCTAACACAGACGGTTGATTAACATGGACAATGGACCCAAACAAACATGGCTTTGGAAGTGTTCGGGCAACACTTTTCTACTTCCATGTCGATATCGCTTCAGCACGCACAGATCCACACACATTGGTACTAGTTAAATAGATCTAATATTATAAACAACACATTTTTGCGGGCTGGTCAATTTCAGCCATACAGTCTATTTCAGGCAGCAAAAATCAGCGCAAAAAATCAACCGCGCCTGAACCGCATCATCGCTGAGGGATAAGCCAGCTTGCTCTGCTTTCTGCATCCCTGACACATCCAAAAAAAATGAGTTGCTGTGCTGCTGCCATGCCGAAACAGAACTGGTTGGTGCTTTCAACCCCTCTGAAAAATATGAGTTTGTCAATTGGGATGATGACATTCCCAACATATGGAAAGTCATAAAAGCATATAAAAGCCATGTTCCAAACCACCAACCAGTATGAAAGACCATAATTAGCCAAGCATCTGTCAACTTGCTCCACTACAACGTGGTGCCCAAGTTATCAGTTGATCTATCCCATCTAACTAGTTCGATATGTCCCAGCAAACCCGACTGAGATTTGGACACCAAAAGTTTTAAAAAAAACAGTACTTGGGGGCCCGAACATGGCAACGCTAACAATCGAAAACTCTGCACATTTTGTGTCAATGTTGTTCACCCGACAATCATCAAAGAAATCTCGGAAAAAAAGCAATCGTCCAACGTCTTGAATTGGAAGGTTCCGGCTTTCAGCGTCAGGCTGACTGTCCTAGGTTCGATTTGACATCTGACAAGATACACCGACAAAAAAGAATTCATGATATCATTGCTATGGTAGTATCGGTAATGATCTGATTTGATCAGTAGGAAAATCAACAACTAATAATGTGATGTTGCAAGGCTTTGCATCAAACCGAGCAGCAGCCGTTTCCATTTTGTGACGGCAGACCGGCCAGCGGCGTGTTCTGCACACGCTCCAGCACGTCTCATGCTGAAAGCAGCCTTGATATATTTGAGTCTCGCAGCGAAAGCATCCATCCCCACGGGACAGTATTGCGGCGCTTCTTGTAGTCTCAACCGCATAGCTACCCAGCACAAAAACAAAGCAAAGGTTTTGCCATCCTCACCTTGCATCTCCCCTTTCGTTGAGTAATCTGTGCATGGCGTACCTGCTACATGAATTTTTGCTTCACCGGCAGTGCAATATCGCTTGTGCTTGGCGTCCAGCTACTTACCAAGCGTGGTGTCTTCATTGATCGCCATGATGAAGGGCAACATCTCCGGAAATTGATCGCATGCCCGATAAGATTTTAACACACCCTCAAGTTAATGGATTGTTTTAAGGGGAAAACTACAGGAAACCATGGATTTTCCCATGAAATATGGGGGCATGTTCTATTTGCTTCCTTAGGCTAACCAATTTATTTTGATCAATGGGTGATGATGATGATGATGATGATGATGATGACAAATGAACCCTCAGCACCCCTGCGATCCACTTGTGAACTCAAGGGAAATTGCACCTAAGGGAACTCAGTAAGCCGGCAGTGGCATATCTCAAACTTGAGAGGAAAAACACGGTGCTTTCTTGAACATGTCTAGCCATCTGTGAAACTAGAGTCTACAGTACTGACCATGTGACTTGTCTCTAATTATTCACATGGTTCTGCTGATATTGGGCTTTCCTATAGGCTGGCTGCGATACGTTGCACACGGCCTTTTTTAGACAATAGATACAGATCCATTGCTACAGCTCAATGAATTGCTGCAAAACATATCTGGTTGGTGGTGCAATAACCATCTTGAAAAATATGAGTTCGTCAATGGGAAGGATGACATCCCATATATTAATTATGGAAAATAACAGCCATGTTCCAAACCACCGTAACCAGAGTAAGTTGTCGTTATCAAACCACCGTAACCAGATATGATCTTTTCCAAACATGGACCGCCCGGAAAGTCCTTTGTTCATCCGACCCAAACCGAAATTCCAACAGATACCCTCTGGTAAACTCATGTAGCTATAGCAAATCACCATTATCAATGGGTAAATCAACGAACTAAATGGCAATTTTCAATAGCTATGTTAAATTACCAGAGGGTAATTACATCATTGGATTTATGCAATTTTATGCATTCATCCCCACAAAAAAAATAGCACAAGACTAGGTGTTCATCCCATCCGAATCATTATCCCAAATACAATACATGACACGGCAAAAAAAAACAACTAGAAAAGGATCACTTCAGAAGTATTTTAACTTTAGCAGCACTTGACCAATTCGCATCTTTTTTTGGGGGATGGACGGTTGCAACACATGTTCAAAAACCACGATCCAACGACAACTCCGAAACGCCTGATGTGTTGATCAATGCCGCGGCTGCGGCTTCATAGTTCTCGTGCTTGCCCTTGCCACCGCCACCTGTCGCAACGGGACACGGTGAACCGCATCCAAATTGTGGTGCACCGTGGGGTTCAGCAAACATAGGGGTCTAAGATGTGGTTTTAACAACATCCATTTGCGATTTGACCAGCCACAATGATAATCAACGTTTATCATTTATTCGATAGCTGAGTCATGCTAATTCAAATTTAGTTTATGATAAGACTAGCTGTTGGGAGATCTAACCTTGAATGGGTTGATTTAGCACCGATCTCGAACATCTGGACACACGTCATTTGGACCAATGGAACAACCGTCACTGGACCTACCAGGCAGGCAAGCCAAGAAGCGAGCATAGATACGCAAAACAGGTTCCAAGAGTCCAAAACATGTCTCTTTCCTGGTCTAACACCCAATTATGCTAATTAATGATTTCTTGATTCAGAACAATATTTCCGTTAGATATGGCCATATTAGATACAGTACCCTGCTTGGTTCTTCAAGGAAAAGGCGAAGATGTGTTAAGTTGTGCTAAACATGACATCCACTCGGTTTACTTCGTATTGTTGGATCTTGTTGGTAGTTATACATTCACTCCATTACGGGGCTTTGACCTAGCTGAAGCAGCTACAGTATATCCCAAAGGTGGTTGGTGAAATCCCTGTTACCCTCTGGTAAACTAACATAACTATGGAACATCACCAGTTTATAGCTGGGTAAATCCCTAAATTTCTATGGTCATTTTCAATAGCTTTTTGTATGTTTACCAGGCCGGGTATATATGTTGGCTAAAAATCCATGGGTTTACCTGCAGCTATGTAGAAAGCAGGCTTTTCCATGTGCCGTCCTTGATTTCCAGAGGCTGCCCCCCGGCACCTTTCCCACCACTTGCACCGATTGCGCCCTTGCTTCCGCTGCGAGGGACATACCTCACTGTGCAGGATCCATGAAAAAATCTTCGCTGGTTCCACCGAACATGTGGATTAAGCCGGCTCAGCCATGGATTAAAATGATTCAAAACCAGAACTGGTTGGTGGTGCAATAACCATCTTGAGAAATATGAAAGTCAATGGGAAGGATTATCCCATATATTATGGAAAATAAAAAATGTTCCAAACCACCAACCAGAGAATGCAAGGTGGAGGTGCTCACTTTTCCACGTGGCCATGAAACACAGTGGGATGTACGAACGTATGCCATCCACTATCTGTGAACTTCGAAGAACATCAAAAATCATGGAACATCATTGTAATGGTACAAGGTGGTGCCCCCCAGTTATAAGTTGGTTTATAAGCCCCAGTAACTATAGTTATAAGTACCATAAACCATAGTTATTGGAGTTATAAACCAACTTAGCTATCTTGGGGCCTCACATTGTAGGAGGTCTATAAATAAAATCGATGTGCCAATATCGTTCCACCGAGGGGTTACATCTATGATCCATAGAACATCCACCTACAAGGTGGATAACCTCAGCTAGAAGTTTGCTAACATGCTAGCCCATCTGACTAGTTCGATATATCTATTATAACCCCAACATTTAACTTCGTCGTTGCAACATAGTTGCAGTTATAGCCACAGTTATAACTGGTTTGTAATGATGTAACTATAAATTAGGGGGCGAAATTAAGTTGGCATGTTTTTTGGCTATAAAATATACCCTTGGTTGCAGGAGTTATCATCACATTTAAGGCCCATCCATAAGCCTGGCGGGTAAACTTTGTCGCCATCAGCCGTTGATGTCGAGCTGCCCCCGGGACACCGTGGCAATGATGTAGTTGGAGGGATCCTGAGCCGTTGACACAACGGATGAACCAAATGAACCACGATTTTCATCAGATGTGATGATGTGGACATAATTATGCCGCAATTGCAATGTCAAAGTATGTCAAAGTATATATATATATATACATATACATATATATATGTACTATACATATATATATATATATGTATATGATAATAGATGTACACATTTTTTCTGAATGCAATGATAATCTTTAAAGACTCATATTAAGTTTGTGAATTAATAGCAACAAGTCGCTGAAACCCTCGATTTTGAAGAAATTCACGTTATAATGGGCGACATACACTTAGAAGATCATTGTCCATGTTCAAACCCTCTCTTAGAACATCTACCGACAGTACACTTAGAACATAAGCTGATGTTCTCAGTGACCACTTAGAACATCCAAACATCATACACTTAGAACACATTGGTTTCGATACACTTAGAACATTATACACTTAGTGATGCACTTAGAACACTCTCTCCGTAAGACATATCACCATAAGACCAATCAGTGCGGGAGATTTCCCCTATCTTAGTTTAGCGTAATTATATTAGCTTTGCAGAACATACACTTTTAACATCTATATGGTTCCCACCAGATGTTCAGGCAGTGTATATGTTGGATATGTTCTGTGTATGTTTCCCCCTGCTCAGGATATGACACTTAGAACATCCCCGCTGTGAAGGCTTGATTTTTGTTCAAACAATGTCTGGTTGGTGGTTTCAACCCCTCTGAAAAATATTAGTCAGTTGGGGTTATTATTCCCAATATATGGAAAAATAAAAATGTCGCAAACCACCAACCAGATGTTTTAAGATGTTTTAAGTGTAAATCTTCCAGAGAAACAAAATCTTCTGGATCCTCCTGAAATCAACTTCAATTTTTTACCGGTCAGTGGTACGCAAAATCTCGGATCATGGTAACCCATCCCACAGCGCCATCCATGAAACACTGGTAGCAAAAAAGAACGGGATTCTCAGTTGGATGGGGCCCCCGTTCGATGGCGTTCAGTTGCCTGAAAAAAGTGGCTTTAGGTTATGGTTTATAGTAGGTATAACTATAATATTCATTGGGTTTTTAAACCAACAAACATCACGTTTGGGGGCACCATCCTGCAGTTGGATGATGACAATCCCCAAGTCATTGGTAGTAAAACCCCAACTCACTAATCATCAAACAGGCGTTTGGCAGTGAGTCACTGACCAACAATAGATGATAATACGCGCCCTTACGAATGTTGTTGTTGGTGGATAACGTGTACCCTTCATAATAGCCCAAACATCATCGGGTGAAACCTTTAATGAGGGGTTGGCTTATAACTCCCTGTCCCTATCTAGATATATCTAACATATATCTAACATATAATATCTAACGTATATCTAACATATATCAAACATATATCTAATATATATCATTATATATATCTAACATATAGCTGTAACTGTAACCTCTCAAGCGACTTTGTTAAGGGAGGGCCGCACCTTGAGGTGTCCAGATTGAAACTTCTGCTGCGTCGCTTCCAGCAGTTCCTTGAGGAGCTGAAAGTCGAACAAAAAATCAGGGGGAGATCCCCTAATGATCTACAGTCATGGCCCAACTAACACTGGTTGGTGGTGACCTACCCCTCTGAAAAATATGAGTTCTTCAATGGGAAGGATTATCCCTTATATTATGGAAAATAAAAAAAAAGTGTGAAACCACCAATTAGTACAGTTATGGCCCAACTAACAGTTATAAATGGAATGAACTAACTCCTATAACTGAGGTTGTATATGATGAAATAATCCCATGGCCCATAACTGTAGTCATTGTTTCGGGCCAAGAGTTATAGTTTTGATGGGAGAGAATTATAGTTTTCAGGAGATGATTGGCATTCCTGATTCTTTGAACCTTCACATGCCAGTTTGGAGGCCAATACCAGGTTCAATACCATGGTTTTTAGAGGTGATTGGAACCTCCCTACCATCAGGATGGAATTGGATTTATAGGGATCTGGGACCAACGAAGCAGGTCAGCTTGGAACAGTACTCCTTCAAACCATTGGAAGAGTGTACCACTAACTACAGTTTTTTTCCAGAGTCTTGGTTACACCATCATTGGTAGGTTTCACCTCTTTAGATTGCAGAACTGGGGATAAATGAGGATCTTGAGGGGTACCATCATCTATCTTTTGTTCACTGGCTACACCTCTATTAATGGGACAAACCGCATCTGGGCAAGCTGCCATATTTCACGAACATTCACCAAAGTGAAAGGTAAGCCATTCATCGTCATTTTTGGGCTATCGCCCGATCACAATTGGAAAAACACATTTTACTCAACTACTCAATCAACATTTCCATGCAAATCATCATGTTGATGACCTATTGTTGTGATAATACATACGGTTAGCTCGATATACAAATCAATACCACAACCCCCCCAAACATTCTAAATGTGGATAACACAACAATAAATAAACCATCCCCTAGGCCCTAGTCATCACCAATCACCATTCTTAAATGTAATATGGTTTTCGAAGTATCCCCCAAATCAATTCAAATCACCATTGATGGTGAAAAAACATCATTTTTCATGATTAAAACACATTTTTTGATGGTTACACCCACCATTTAATGTATATACGTGGTATAAACTTATATACCCTCTGGTAAACTAACATAACTATAGAAAACCACCATTTTTTTATGGGTAAATCAACGACCTAAATGGCCATTTTCTATAGCTTTTTTCATTACCAGAGGGTAACCATTTTTAATGGTTAAACCATCATTTCTTATGTATAGGTGGTATAAAAAATGGCAATGTACAGCGGATTTACCCATTGTAAATATTGTAAATGGTGATTTTCCATAGTTATGTTAATTTACCAGAGGGTAAATCCCATTAACATCCCATTGAATCACTATAAAATTCCATGAAATCCCATTAAATCCCATGATTTTCCATGGTATTTTTGTATGTTAAACTTCACCATTCCCAGTCATTGCCAAGGGCTCCGTGGCATGGTTCAAAGGCAGCCGTTCCAAGGATGCCATGGCCTCACAAGGCGCAAGGGTATACTGGGGGATATATGTGGGTATCATTTTACTGGGGATATACTACCCTAGAAATTACCCATTTATATATATATATATATCTGATAGATATATCGGCTGTCTTGACTCGACCTTTCCGATTGGGATCAAGCCTGATAACTGTGATCCAAGCTGGAAGGTCGTGCACATCAGGCACTTCAAAATGGTCTGAGTAAAACATGTAAAACTGCGTGAGGTGCGGCATCGTGGTGCCCGTAGGTCCTATCATTCGTGCCGGGCCCGTTGCGAATGTGGGCTGTGCGTTTCCCCACACCGCGCTGTCTCACAAGGCCACGAGCACTGAGCACTTACGTCGCTATGCCTGAGGCAGCCGGCTAGCGTGTCAGCGTCAGTGACTGTGCCGCCGATGCCCGGCCAGCCTCGTCATCCGAGAACATGGTCTCCCCGAAGACACCCGCGAGTAGCTGGCTCTCTATCTTGTGCATCGCGGGCTGGCACATGGATGCACCCGCCAGAGTCGGTGCCGCCAGCCTGCGGTATGGCTGCCCGCCTGCAGCAGAGTGGAACACCTGTGCAACGACAGTGCCGCCTTTTGTGGGGTTCACGACCATCACCGTTGCCTTCACTGATTCGTCATCAGATATAGTAATATTTTTAATATGGTGATGTATATAGGAAAATATATCTAGGGTATTTTCCTGCAGAATATATCTGTTATATTATATATATATAATATTCACATAAAAATTATGCAGGAAAATATAGAGGATTTGTTTCCTTATATGGCTGTGAGCATAAATTCTGGTATGGATCGTTCCGCAGTGATCCGTACTATGGATCGGGAGTGCTTACGTAAGGTGCCTGATCCGTACCCTTTCGTAAGGGCTCATCATAGCGTACAAATTGTGTTGATACTCTTACTATCTCCTACTTGCTATTACTTCTCCTCCTGCTACTGTTGCTGCTAAAACTGCTACCACTGCTAGTAGAGGAAGCAAAAAAAAACAGCACCAGCAGCAGTAGTGGCAATAGAAGGAGGAGATGCAGTAGCAGTAGAAATAGCAGTAGCAGTACCAGTAGTACTAGTAAAAGTCATAGTAATAATAGTAATCTAATGAAAGTAGCAGCAGCAGCTGCAGTTGTACTAGGAGTAGTAGTAGTAGAAGTAGTAGTAGTAGTAGTAGTAGTAGCAGTAGTAGTAGTAGTAGCAGGAGTAGTAGTAGTAGTAGTAGTAATAGAATCGGGCTTTCATATTGGCATTTGTTGTGGCGTGACTGGGTAGTAGTAGTAGTAGTAGTAGTAGTAGTAGTAGTAGTAGTAGTAGTAGTAGTAGTAGAATCGGTCTTTCATATTGGCATTTGTTGTGGCGTGACTGGGTTCGGGTATGGATCGGGTATGGAACGGGTATGGATCGGGGTATGGATCGGGACACGCTATCTGGGCCGGCTTTCCCGCTATGGCTGTGAAGGAAGAGAACGGGGTATTTCTAGTCTGGTCTAGTTCTACACGTGCCAGGCAAAGCAGAAACAGAAGGAATTGTAATCATAGCGCCACTATAGAAGTACAAGAAGCACCTAGTGGAACTAGAACCAGTCTTACTAGCGTCCAAGGTGCACTTGCAGTATTGCTAGTAGCTAGTCAACTAGTTGCATTTGTCCAACTACCAGAAGCACACGGAGGAAGCGAATCAGCACCAGCAGCGGGAGCAGGACCAGCAGGAGCAGCAGCAGGAGCGACAGCAGTAGCAGCAGCTCCTGGGAGGAAGATGACTAGTAGTGCAGCAGCAGCAGCAGCAGCAGCAGCACGGAGGCAACGGAGGCAACGGAGGCAACGGAGGCAACGGAGGCAACGGAGGCAACGGAGGCAACGGAGGCAACGGAGGCAACGGAGGCAGCGGAGGCAGCGGAGGCAGCGGAGGCAGCAGTAGAAACAACGGTAGTAGCAACGGGAGTAGCAGTACGAGGACCAGAAGTAGTATTAGGATAAAAAGCAGCATTAGGGCCAGCATCAGTCTTTCTTCAACGAGAAAGGGGTACGGATCAAGGGTATGGATCAGGGATATGGATCTCACGCAGTATCATGGGGTATGGACCGGGGTATGGATCATGGAGTATGGATCGTGTGTGGGCCCGGGACCTTGATCAATGCTTTGTATTTTTACCCGCATCCATATACATATATATATATTGATATATGATATATTGATATATTACTATATGTATGATGGGATTCTAACTGGCGGGCCCCACTTTTCCATTTACATTCATAAACTGGATTCAGCTATCAAACTATATTAAACATTATTAAACTATATGCTACTATATGCCAATCCAGTTGGTTGATGTTGCTTGGGAATGTGATCATTTTCAACACCATGATAACCTTTTTTGTTGTCCCAAAAAAAGGTGAACCAACTATCAAAGGGGCTAGAGGGTTCTTGCTCGTTTACGGACTATCTCGTTACAAGTGTCCATCTCAGGGGCTTGCCTGATTTTGTTTATTCCCAGAATCTATCTCAAATAAACAATCCCGGAAACGCGACGCGCGACGGATGGAAAATCCGAAGAAGTCGTGTCCTAACGGGTTGGCTCAGCTTTGCGGACTAGCTCAATTCTGTGGACTTTCAAAGTGCTCTCAACGATTTTTCTCTTGAACAAAAAATATGAAAAACACACATTAACCCTTGAGAGGGTACATACCATTGAGATGGCAACATGGGCTGTTTTCGTGGTATTTACAATGTTCGGCGTCAAGTGCTCTTCTGCGGGGTATGTATCCATCGCCGGGTCGGCCAAACCAATAAAACTAAAAAATAAAAACTGAGATGTGACTCGAACTTTTGAAGATCACTTGCATTTGAGAAAGGCACACCAATATGTGGGAATCCTGCTGGGACAGTTCATGCTTCCACCAGGACTTCCAAAGTCAAAATTCGCGCAGTGCGCGATGCGCGACGTCCAACGAAGGACAAACAATGAAGGGCCATTTCTCAAAGAACAGTTGAGATGGGCTATCGAGAAGGTAACAAAAGGTACGGGGATTAACATCCCGAAGCTATTCACCTTAAGCTGTTTTTCCTTTTACGAGTCACTTTGGGATGGTCATGTGGGAACGCAACAATGAATCCAACAAAACCAGCAGAGTTCCGTGTTTTCATCTTGTTCTGTTCAGTTTCTCAGTTTCTCGTCTTTGTTCTTTTTGCATCTCAATTCTGGGTTGGCAATCACATTTGCATACGTTTACATCCAACTTTTTGCTTCTGCTTCATCCCTAACAAATCAGTGCCATCCATGATTCAAAGCCACGGATCTTCTATTCCATCCAGTCCATGGTTCTTTGATTATTTTTGATTGAAGTATATTGAAGTGCATTTGCATCAGGGATCTCCCTGGCATCTGGGCCACCTTGTTGACACGTGAAGAAGTTCAAATTTCGGACACTGACCGATGGGAAGTCAACAGAGGCCCTCATGCGGACTCATGCGGTTGTCCAAAAAAGGTGCAGCAATGCTATCCTCGATGCGATTGCCACAGTACCAAGTTTCCCTAGACCTACAAGTTGGGGCCCCTGAGTTACAAGTTGATTTAGAAAATTCATCTACCCAGTTCGTTCCATCTACCATAAACATCCACTCCTGGAGTTAGCAACTCAGCTAAACTGTCGCCCCACCTTGGTCGGACCCTGAAATTCCTATGGAGAATCCCCATTTCATCGACCCGTCTGGCCTCATTGCTGAGATCCAGCCCCAAACGATACACCTCGTCTCCCACGGTGGGCATCGCTGCGGCTGCGATGACACGACACGACGGCACGTTTTGGGTGCCCGCGTCGCGCAAAAAAAGCGACGCCGGTGGGAGCGGAACAAATCCTGGACGCAAAATGACGTGAAATGATGTAAAATGATGTAAAATGCTGCTGTTGAAGCATTTTGAGGGTGAAGTTTTCATATGAACTGAGAAACGTGTCTGATTTAAAATCTAAACCGTTCCCTTAGAGTAAAGCGTGATTACTGCAAGACTTTGCAAGAGGATTTGGAGGACAGGTAAGACTTTTGTGTGAAAATAGCCCATGCGATTCGCTGTGTCCAGCCAGATCGCTTCCACATTGCTGGTGACTTCTGGAAAACGTCTTGGATGTGGAAAACCCATGCAGTGCCTCATGTGAGCTACAGAAATGTCCCTGCGTGGAACTGAGCGGCAGCGCGGTCAGAAACGACAGGACGATCCCTCCCAAGCTGCTGCAAGTGCAAAACAACTGGTGCACGCTTCGAATCTTTGCATGTTTCATATTCATGGTGATCAAATCTCCTCAATGTGACAGCTCCATATGTCATGCCCTTACCATTCAGCAGTGTTCAAAACCCTCCGTGGTTCCATTTAGACTGATCGGTTAATAGAACTTCCCCTAATGAATAATGACAGTCCCCAATAAGTTGTTATACCATCCATAAAATCACCAACCCACGGGTTTTGAGATTTTGAGCACTGCTCCATTTATCATGACCATACAGTTATCGCCGCAGTTTTGTACCTGACTTATTCCATGATAGAAAAAACCAACCAGTCAGACCAGTCAGACCAGAGTTAGTTCATCCCAAGGCCCCATTTATGGCCGGGCCATACAGGATGGTGCCCCCAAACGTGATGTTTGTTGGTTTATAAACGCCATGAATACTATAGTTATATCTACTATATAAATACCATAGAATTCAGCCACTTTTTTCAGGCAACTGAACGCTATCTTGGGGGCCCCATCCTGTAACTGTAGATAACTGTAGCATATGTTGACCAAAGTTTCCACCAAAAACGAAGGAAACTCCGGAAACTCCCAAGGTTCCAGCCGAGCGCCGCTGGGCCTCGGGGGAGGATTGGACGGAATAAAGTGTGTTTTCCCACAGTTATGGCCCCCTTGGGGGCCTCAAAAGGGGATGGACTAACTCCTGCAACTAGGGTTGTATATATCATTATAAGCAAGTCATTACTTTTAAGGGCTAGAACTAGAACTGTATCTTTTAGGGGGATGACAATAGACGATGGTGATTTTCCATCAGTATATTATGAATTGTGTGAAGCTACAGCTACAGTACCAGTTAGACCAGCTCCTGGGTATCTTCGACAAGAATGAAGGCCTTCAAACATGATTTCGTGGACCGCCAGTCTGCTCCAACATGATCATGTGTTCAAGCGATTGAATGCGGCCTCCACAACAACAATCTGGCAGGAAGCCATCTTGCTACTACCAAATGCTCTTGGGCGTTCATGGAAATGTTCCACTGAACAAATCCCTCGGATGATGATGGTTTTTGCCAAAACGATCCATTTTTTATCAGTGTAGAAAAGCACATCAGAAATCCCAAAATTCGGTCCAATTTGTTTTTGTTGGAAACGATAAAGTTATTAGCCATTATAAATACATATATGAGTCATTATGACATATAATTGTCGACCCACTTTAAGGGTTTGGTTCCTACCATCCTGTGTTGTTGCCAAGCCCCACATGTCAGGTCAACCTGGGCGGCCCGAACTGATCGCTCGCCTAGGCGAGTGAAATCAGCTCTGAATTTGGTGGATCCCAAGCGACCGATGGAGGTCTAAAACCCGGCATGTTGAGGAGAAAAAACTATGGAAAATCATGGGGGTTCCATGGGATTTCATGGAATTTTATAGTGATTCAATGGGATATTAATGGGATGTACCCTCTGGTAAACGTTTACATAACTATGGAACATCACCATTTGACAAGTGGGTAAAACAACAAACTAAATGGCCATGTTCAATGTCGCTATGTTTGTTTACCAGATGGTACGTATGTCTCCAAGAAAATTATATATATATATATAGTTACAATACATTCATCCACCTCAAGTCAGGTAATTTTTTGGGATCGTTATACTTGTTACTTTACACCCTCCAGTAATTTAACATATGGAATGCCCACCATGAATGTACTGTATACACTTGTCCTACGGAAATCATGGGTTTTCCGTATCTTTTTGTTAAATTGTTGGTTAATAGACCATGTTTCAAAGTTAAATCCATGGCCATCCAGTTGGCATTCCACTTCTACCAATACCCCATAATATTCCTAGTCCTTCCTGATCATACCAGGTTATACCACCATTTTAGATAGCTTAACATAGCAGAAAACCATGTAAAAACTCCGATCTCGGGCTTCAAATCCCATCATCTCCCCCCCCAAAAAAGGGTTCATCCCCACCCCCTGTGTTCCACCAAGTATCTCCCTGGCTCGCCATGGACCTCAGGGTTTTTGGATTTTGACGATCCTCCTTTTGTGTCCATTCAGTGGATCACTGACATCAAAATTATCTGGGTAAATTATATATCAACATATCACCAGGGATTGATGTTGTATATATATATAGTGCTGGGTAAATTATAATATTTCACTAACCTGACTGAATAATTATCAGTGGCCATTTGGGGATGATTTCCCTCAAATAAACCATTCCAGGGTTTGATCGCAGTGAGGTCGTTATAATTTAGCCGGAATTATGCGTAACTATAACTCATTTCCGGCTGCATGCGAATGAACAGAAGAATTGATAAAACCCCATGAATTTTATGAAATGGATGTAACATGATGTAACTAACACCCCATTAATTCGTAACTAACCCAACTACCCATGTGTCAAGTGGATTTAACTTGGTTCACATTCTGAGGTCAACTCATTGACCATCCCCGTCGTATCAATATGACATACCGCCAGTTTTCTGCTTAATAAAAAAAAATCTGACTAGGTCCATAAATCATCACCCCCTAGATAATCTATCGTAATTCAACTAGTTGATTTGCTGTCGCAAATCAACTATCATCAGCTATAAATCATCCTTGTTTGTTTCATTGCAACCCAATCAAACTAAGAATATATCTACCGTGCCCCGTCGATAACCTACTTATGATTTGACTTAGCTAAGTAGAGGACCCTTTCCTGTTCCCACTGTTGATTGTGCTTCATAGTTTCCAATAGTTCCCAACTGGTGCAGGATTTTGTCCATCCACAGTGGGTATTCATGAATTTGATCTAGCACGTCAGACTGGATGGAGGGCGGGACTTGGGGACTTGCCGCAGGTCAGCCCTAAACAATTCAAAGTTTGCCAATGAAAGTGAGAAACCGGAAAGTGATTTGCCAATAACATCGACTACCCTCTGGTTATGACTAACATAGCCATGGTTTTGTTGATGGCCCATGTATAGATGGTTTACCTATTAAAACATGTGATTTTCCATGGCTATGTTAAAAAGCCAGAGGGTATTGGGTTTGCGAATAAAAATCAAAGCGGGATGGTCGACACAAGTTTCATTTGATGAGTCAAACGATGGTGTAGTCTGTATGGATACTGACACTGAAGCCGACGCATAAAACCACATATATCAAATATCATAGCAAAGCTTCATCTTAAACCAACCAAACAATATATAGCCTTCAGTAATCAAACATTAAACATGACTAGCTGGAAATTTCCCTATCAATGGAGGTTGAGTTGGGTACCGAAGGGTATACCCTCTGGTAATTTGTTACAAGTCGCTATTGAAAATAACGCATTTATAATTATTTATACCTATTCAAAATATTTCAAAATGGTGGATTTTCCAGTTCGCTATATTAGTTTACCAGAGTGTATCCATTCATGTCTATTCTTGTCCCATTTTCCCATTATCCCATGATTCTCCCTATGAATTACACCAGGTCGTCACCTTCGTGCGGTGATGCCGCCGGTCGTAGGCTGCTGATGTCCGTAAAAACGCGAACGGAAGTCGTGGTAGGTTCGTAGAGGGCTGATGAGTTTGTTGAGTAGATTTTTTTCGTAGCACACCCCCCACAAAAGATACGAGAAACATCCCACTGAAATAGGGGCAAATTGATTTTTGGATCTTTGTGGTTCTTGTTGGCCTTTCTGAAGGTGCCATCCCTTGGAAGAGAAAACCTCCTGAAGATGATAAACTGATAAAATCTGATAAAATACACTGAGGATAGAATCTAGAAGTAAATCAAAGGTCGCACAATGCGAAGTCTGAACAATTGGGACAGCAAATTGTGAAATGCACGCGCAATTAATACAATGTGACTACAACATGAGTTTCATCATGACATCACAACTTTCTGCTGTTTTTAATGGCGAAGTTTACACCTCAAAAGGTGGTTGGAAAGCTTGGCTCCTGCGCTACGCTTAGCCGCTTAGCTCAGTGACGACCCCCTAAAAGGGTTGATGAAACCAATCACTTGAGCCACAGCAAGCATCCATTGCGAGTCTGGAGTATTGCGGAAATTTCACTGGTGCCTTAGGGTAAACATACAGAAACATGTGGAAACAACTCCAGTATGTAGATAAATTTTCCAGGGAAACCATGAGTTTTCCACATCTCTGTGTACGTTTACCCGAGGGTAAACGAGGTAGCTATATATATATATATATTTGGGATAGATGTAATGCGGATATAATCGGGATATCACCAACAATATGATTTTGGAGTTTGAAAAGGGTACTTCCATCGTAGGTGTCCCTATGAACGCGCAACCTTTTCGGTCAAGACCACCTCATTCATTGTCCACTGACTTGCTGTATGCAAAAAAAACATGGTTCCTATTGGTTGCAATTTGCCAAGTTGCTTTTTCAAAATTCATGTCATTACAAAGTTTCATAATTTACCCATGATACCAGTGTTTGCAGCCCCCTCCCCCCAATTCGCTCGGACTCTTGGATTTGTCCGAGAGGTTCCGAAACAATCCAATAGGATATTCCCTGTAGATTCCCCAGTCACGGCAGGATTTTCTATGGGGAAAATCATGATCCTTAAACACAGCCACTTAGATGTTGCCATCATAGATGGTCCAGCATTTCAAAATATGATTTTCCCAGCCATAAACTTCTATTCATTTATATATAATGACATTTCCACATATTCAGCACATATCCCACGTCAACAGTTGACATCGTTTTTCCAGCAAATCCAAGGACTGCCTCTTTTCACGTCCTTTTTCTCTTCGTTACGTAACGTAACGGCGTCAGGGCTGCTTATCTTTGGCCAGCTGGGTCACCGGTTGAAGCTGAGAGTTGATGCAAAGGGACACCTGGAGTGGACCCGAAAATTGTCGCTACCGGGTAACGACTATGGCATGACGGTGGATAGCCATTTAAGAGTCATATACTTTGATGGACTAAATGGGTATATAGTGCTATGTTATATATAATGTATATGATCATTTATAAAATATATGCTATATGTAGCGTGCGTCGATGAATTTGCCCATTGCCATTTCCGTGATCAGCTCCGATTCGCACCGCTGTCCAAAAATGCTGGTGTTAAAAAAAAAGTCTCCATCCAAAAGGGGTCAAGAGTAACTATAACAAGTCCCCAATAGAACAATAATTTACCATTGTTTTCCAAGGTGTGGCCCACATGATAGGTTGGTTTAGAGCTCGGATAACTGGGCTTTGTGGTACTGCTACTGTATGTTAAACCTATATAGATGGGCTTGTGCATAAACTTATAACTGAAAATGGGCTCGGCGGCTTCAAGTGCAAGAAACACATCAATGAAGCAACACTTTTACACAGGTTCCAGGGTAAGTCAACTCATTGTTGTGCTTCACATTTCCTTTCCTATATGGCTTTATGGGATGTAGTGATGCAGTATTTAATATTTGGATCTGCTTAAGGCGTCACAAAAAATGAAACAGATTCCCTGTAGATTCCCACATCATCACGGATCTTCCATGCTGAAAATAAAACAAATAAGCTGCAACAAACCCAACTTAGATGATCTTAGATGTTGCCATAGATAGACTCTATGAAGTATAGCTATCCTATCTATCTTTTATTTTTTTGGTGACCAGCTGCTGACCAGCTTCATCATCTTAGACCCAGGAAGATCACCTTTCGATCCAAGTCACCCAAGATTCACTTTCAAGGCCATTCTCTTCCAGCAACGTGTTCTCAGGCAAAGGCCTAGTCGTGGCCCAACTGATCACAACTGGGCCGAGAAATATGCTACAGCAACCCTCAAAACAATAGACATGTCAACTTATACTAAAACCATCTAAAACCAATGGCAATTGGTAATGTGTATTTCCATGCTTTGGAGGTTCTCTGCATAGTTAATGGTAATCAAGCACCAAAATTCATGGCCTTCTTTGTCTTGAACCTTTGACGCATAGCCGCCATAGCCACTGTCCATTTTTCATCATTTTTCGCTAGATTGATCAGATGTCCCAGTGATGGGCACAAACACTTGGGTGGAAACTGGTGAAGCAGCTGGACCAATTGATACGGATAGACCTCACAATGAGGTGCACAGCCCAGTCGCCGCAGTTTTCAGCCAAAGGAGCTTCAGGCAATACATCAGTTTGAAGATATCCTCAATCTGGCACACTTCATCAATGCGAAACCGAAGAAATACCCATCGGCAAATTACAAATGAAACTATCCTGTCAGCTCCATAAATGCAGAATCAAAAAATGCACAAAGGAATGGTTTTGGGCACCCAGGACTTGGATAACATCGTTTCACCATTTGGAGAGATCATCAAAGCCTAAACCAGTTTTTTTCCCCATGAAAAATGACCAATAACTGGCATGATCCAGGGCGCCCCATTTCAGGAAACCCCAATAATTGATCATAATTGAAGATTGCTGGCCAATATTGCCAATATCCCAGCATAATTCTCCATATATGTCCCATAAAGATATCATGATTATGCCATAATCTAAAATTTTCCAACATGTCGCGGAGGTGAATTCGCCGTTGCAGTCTTTGTCACCGTGTTCATGCTTGGCACATCTCAACATGTCAAGCGGCTGGCTCTATGTCGAACTTTTTGGAGATCGACTCCTGCAGGGCCGTTTTCGTGAAACAAAATTTAATGATGATCAATGGATTGGTTTAAGGGAAAATCTACAGGAAACCATGGTTTTTACCATCAAATATAGGGCTTTCCTGTAAATTTTCCCATCATCCAATTCTATGAGATGATGATCATTATTACCCTTTGGTAATCAAGAATGGCAATCGAAAATTGCCTATTTATTGATTATGTGTCCATTAGAGCACCAATGCATTGAGGATGTTCAATTGCAACTTTTGATTACTGGAGGGTATTGTGATATTACTATCATTATTATTACTATTATTATTATTACTATTCACTATTTTTGTATATATATATATATATACAGCAACCCTCAAAACAAATGTCAATTTCAATGTGTCTATGGTACTTCGATGGTCCCTGTAGGTTGTTCCTTGGCCTTGATCTTGTGGTATCCTGTGTATCCGTTTGAAAGGGTAGCGCTGGCCAATCCAATTAAGTTACCACCAAAGAAACGGAAAAACATGTTTGAAATGCCGGTATCTTCGTTTAATATGTATATATATATATATGCAATATATATATATATACATATTAATATATATAAATATCCAAATATATTGTTATATATTGTTTAATGTGTATCCAGAAATTATATGAGGTAAATGTATATTATAATTATTAGAGTTGTGTTTCCATCTTAGTTGCCTAAGCACTCGCTTGGTTATACATCTGCTCGTCATATCTGCATGTCAGTTGGTTTCATTCGACCACCACTTGATGAATCACAAGGAACACCATTCATATTGTCTCAACTATATATTGTATTGCTTTTCACTTGGCATTATTCCCAGTTGGTTACGCAAACCCTTGGACACATTCTACAACAAATTAACAGGTTTCTTTGTTTATGATTTTTCTAGATCGACTGCGATGGGTCTCCCCATTTATTAGTTATATATATATATATAACTGGTTATTTCTATGGGATCATACATTCTATAAATGGGGTTTGTTAGTACTTGTAACTTGTATTTTGGGCCATAACTGCAACGGGTGTCCCGTACTTTTTCTTCAAAAAACTGTGACCCCAGGGCCATGGCACGGTCAATTCCTTGAGGTCCGAGACTTTTTCATCCAATGAAGCGCGGAAGCTGTAGACCTTCCCACTGAAGTTTTTACCTTTGGACTGTGTATTTCATGGGGTGAGTGTAGTGGGATTTCAGGGGATTTCAAAGGGTTTCATGGGCTTTCATGGGCGTTTGTTTAATGGGGTCTTATAGGATTTGATGGGATTTTATGAGACGACTGATGGGATTTAACGGACACCTGGAAGAACTTGAAGAACTGATGGGCAAATCAAGGAGAATCGTCAGCGCACTTATAATTTGATGACCATCAAACAGTCTGCATCTAGATTATCATGTTTTTTTTTCTTAGTTTATGTTTTTTTTGTTGATTCTGTATCATAACTCAAGTATATCAACTCGATAAGAATATATATATATGCCCTACCCTCTGGTAATTTGTTACATAGCTATTGAAAGTTGCCATTTGGTTCGTTGATTTACCCACTAAAAATAGTGATGTTCAACAGCTATGTTAGTGTACCGGAGGGTATATATATATATATCCCACTGTCTTCTCTTCATATCAAAACATATATTGGAAAGCCTTGTGAAAAGCATTGGATCTACAGAATCTATGGGGGCATATATGGGGGTTTCTTTAGCAAGGGGGAACGGGACAATAAAATGTTAGCAAATTCTCAATTATTAATGCTTCATAATGCTTCCAAGTTTCGATTTTGAGTTAACTCGTGTCAATCCCGGATTCATAAATCTGACAACACCATAGGATCCATGTATGGTATATGTGCTAACATGACTGGGATATATTGATGGGATCCATGTTACCATATATATAGCAGCACCATGGATCCTATGGGTAGTAAATTGTGGAATTGTCACTGAACATTTTGGAGAAGGATTTCACCTGATTCATCCCATGCTGGGACCACCAGCTCTGGGATGGTGGAATCCCAGGGGTTATCATTTTATACAGAAAAACGGCGACAATTTCAGGCGAATCACCCTCCAAAAAGAAAAGAACATACCCAATATGCCCCATGTATGGTCTATTTACCTACATGACTGGGTGATTTTTAGGGCAAATGTTAAATAAATATTCCATACATGGAGCATATGGGATAGAGCCCTTTGATTTTTTTCCGCCGGGATCTGCCAGGCGACATAAAATCTGCACATGCCTTCGGGGGAGGACCGCATCATAGGTGTGCTGCTTCATAAGTTGCAGCTCCTTCATGATCTTGCCTTGGATTTTCGAATCGAAGAATGGTACCCTCCGGCAAAAAAAACATGGCTGGCTGGAATTCTCACCATTTTTTATAATGAATTTCCCATTGAAATCTCCTTTTATATCATTTATATTAGAGATGTTCTTGGAAGATTGGTCACCAGCTGTTGGCTTCAATGTTCAACATATGCTCTCGATTTTCCAGCACTCATGTTTGAAGCCGATAAATATTATCACCATGTGCATGGTAAAAATGAAGCAATAAACATCGGAACTTGGTCAACAATGTTTTGCAGTAACAACATGTAACAACATGATCAGCAAGGGAAAACCATTGCACATCATTTATGTAACTTAGATCATCAGTATTTTTTTTAAATGTTGCATATAACATTTTGTCGAATTGGGTAACAAGCTCCGTTTAAATATCAAGTTTCACAAGCAAAAAGTGGCACCGAGATACAAATGTCCTGCCGGTTCTGCTGATTCTCCTCGCGCAACTTTCGGTTGGCTTCCTTGGCGGCCCTACATACCCCAGCAAACAAATGGATTAGAGCGGAGTAGAGAATGGTTATACATATATAAATATATGCGTCTACTAATACATATACCATCTGGTTATTTAACATAGCCATGGAAAATTCCCTTTAAATGGAGGAGGTTTTAATGGGGCAATCATCTATAAATGGACCATTTTCCATGGCTTTGTTAAATAACCAGAAGGTATATATATTCTTATCGAGTTGATATACTTGTGTTCCGATCACTAAGTCGGTTGAACCAAGCCTTAGGGTAGAAACATTGGACGGCTTAAGCCCTTTTTTTTGAAGCAACATACAGAACTACTGGGCACTACCTTGTAGCGTTTTTAGCTTTTTTAAATATATATATATATATACATAATCCCACTCAGTAATATCAAAAACCCCAAAGCCCTTTGTCAAAACAACTTAGTGTTGGAATGTGTTGGAATTCATCTGGGGGGGCTCGGTTCTCGGGCATCTTGAATGTTTGGGAAAGGGATTAGTGTGGCTAACTTCCTCCCCATGAGCTTCGATCGCACCGCCTCTGGGTCCCAAAAACCCAAAAGGATGAAATTTTGGGGGAGGTCTTGGAGCCCAATTTTATAGGTATAATTTGGTTGGGCCCCAACTTGGTTTCTTACAAAAAGATAGGCCCCAACATGTTTTTTTTTTAACAAACGTGGTTATAAAAAGGGTGCCTCTGGAACCTACGAGCCACAGGATTTACACACAAGATGGCACCAACTGCTTGTTTGTCTTTTGACGTCCCCATTTTCTACCCCGGACGTCCGCATTTGTAGGGTCAGAATGGTTTTGATTGGCCAACAGGGTCCAATGCTCAACGATTTTTTTCCCCATGGGTAGCCCCTGATCAAATGGTTCTATCACCACCCTGAAGTTGATGGCTGGTGGTAATTCCAGCTGTATTACCCAAAGAACTTTTTTGTTCCAGTTCACAAAGCCAATACCCCTACAAAAAGCTGATAGCAGGTATTTTCTTTATAAATGATGATTGTCATTTAATCACCAGGTCACGACTCTCTCTGTGGTTGCTGCCACATGTTAAGTTTCCATTTCGGGAACGTTACTGCTTCCATTTCGGGAGCGTTAGTGCTTCCATTTTGGGAGCGTTACGGCTTCCATTTTGTTACCACAAAATGTTGGGAGATCTTCCCTGAATTGATTCTTCTTAATACCCCTACAAAAGTTGTTAGCAGGGTTTTTCTCTAAAAAAATGTGTTTGTTACTCATCCCCAAGTCGTGAACCAATTATTGTTTCATGATTCCATGGAATCCATATGAATCTATATGTGCTTGGTTTTGGTATCTATTGATGTTTGAGCCAAAAGACCCTGTAGGATGGCACAGCTTTTTGTAAAGAATGTGCTGGAGGTACATGATGTCTCTACAGCAGTAGTTTTATAAGACACAAGTAAAAGAAAAATTGGTTATATAAAACGTGCGCCCAAGACTCCAACAAGTAATCAAAATTGCAACCTTATAAAACGCTAGGTTGCAAGACCTATTTGTTTCAAAAAACATACGCTTTTTAGGTTTTATAGGGGACCCAAGCTCTATCCTTTTATAAGGGAAGTTCCAACGGGGTTCCAAAAACCTTGATTGGATGAAGGTGACAAGGTCTGAAGGATTCGGCATCGCCGCCGAAAGCCTTTCTTACCTTCTTCATGGGTGAAACAACTTCATCACTGCGGGGCACCAAATTGTGTCAAAAAAACACCGTTTAATGGATCCTTCATATACGCATCCAAGGCAAATCAAGCAGCAAACCGGGGATATCAACTGGGTGTTTCTCAGAAGTGGGCATCTTTAAGAAACTATGGGATTACTGAACACCAGGCAGCGTGTGCTCTGTTTGAACATGGGGGTACCCAAAAAACTGCAGACTACAGAAAGGGGAGCCCAAACATATGTTGGTTTACAACCAGATGGAACTAGTTCGGTATACGGTATATCAATCAGTGCATCTATCGCCTATGAAATCTACTCCAATAGCTACAGGTTTGAACATCTTTACCCCTTCCAAAAACACACGTTGATCTGGCTTATAATGACATCCCCTTACAATAGGGGGGGTGGATCGGGTTGGGGGTCAATGAGGGCAAACATGCGTCATATTCTAAACTTGTATGGAAATAAGAGTCAATCATAAATTGCGTGACACATGTATTCCCACCTAACAGGACCTAACAATCCCAATGGCTAGTCAAATAACCCCAAACAACGACACCCAAATGAATAGATTCAATACTACACGTTCTCAACCAAAATATCTAGGGGAGATTGAATACGCATGGAAGGAACAAAATACAGTATGTCTAATTACTTCTTTTTGATGGGCTCCTGAGGTTGTGGCTTAGTTCAAAATTTCACCACCGACCTATGAACTGGATGGGTTTGACGGTTTGGCCGTTTGACCAAACATCACCAGCCGCTGGTTTCTTATGGTCCATTGGTGGCCACTTTTTTTCGAGGTCCCCATGTCGCCAGGTCGACGGATGACCATGGATGAGTAGCGGCTGACGAGCGTCATGCAAAGACTGCACGTCTTGAGAGAGTACATCCACCTCCGAAGCCAGACGTAGGTTGATCACCACCAGGCAGCCTCACTTCAAAACAGTTTGATTTCTTTGCTATAGGCTATAGGACAGTGGATGAAAAGCATAGGAAAATCACCATACCAGTTGCCCCAGTTGCCAGTGTTTCCATCTTTGTCATCCCATGATTTTTCTTTTGCCATGAAGAAAATTAGAACTTTGGGAAGTCGAATGGGAACTTGACACAGGGGATTCCAAACTCAAATTCCGCCAACGAATGGCCAGTCCCAAACTGGTTGGTGGTGCAATAGCCATGTTGAAAAATATGAAAGTCAATGGGGAGGATTATCCCCAATACATTATGGAAAATAAAATTCATGTTCTAAACCACCAACCAGCACAAAATCCACAATTTTCTTGCGGATGTTTTTTTTGCGCGTCGGAACTGATTGAGGGATCCTCGTTCATATCTCTTTTGGCGCAGTGAAACCCCTCATTTCTTGCTGGTGAACTCCCCACTGCAATGGTGAAACCCCCCAAAATCGGTGATACAATGTGAGGCCCCCAAGATAGCTAAGTTGGTTTATTACTCCAATAACTATGGTTTATGGTACTTATAACTATAGTTACTGGGGCGAATCTAAACCAACTTATAACTATGGGGCACCACATTGTACCACTTGCATCTGGATCAATCACGTTCCACTATTTTTCCATAGATCTGGCTGAATATATTTTTTTACCCTGGATTGTTAAATCATGGGCATCCAACTATACCCCAAAATGACCCCCCAAATGATAGATGGCTAGTAAGTCTTCATTATTCTGGATTATTGCGATGATTCACAAGGTCATTTGGGATTGATTCCCCTTAATATCCCTTATGCCTTATGCCTTATAATCCCAGTGAAATCGCAGCGAGGTCGTTGTACTTCATCCAGATTTTTGAATGAATATATTGGTTGTTGGTGCTTAAGATCCACCCTTAAGAAACCCTCACATATTGTAGATCTAAAAAGAATCCTGCACCAGTTGGTAACTAGAAGAAACAGTGTAGACATGTAAAAGGAATGATAGCAGGCTAAACCATCTACCAACTGTTGCAGGATTTCTTCCGTCCGTCCGGCAGTATTGTTAAGGCCCAGGGGCTCGACTCGTGCTGCCCTCGATCTTGCAGCATGCCCTGCCAGCCGCAGCCGAGCGCATGATGCCTGCAGCGCACCTGCAACTCGTCGACCAGATTTCGGGCCAGGATGTTCCTGGGCTGGTGAGGTTTTTCATAGTTTTGCTCCAACTAGCCCTTCACAGTTATAACTGGTTTATAATTAATATATAGTGCATATATCACCTTAGCTGCAGGAGTTTAGTTCCATTTGTGACTGTCAAGGGCCATAACTGTGAGAAAATATGGGAAAATGGTAGTGATATATATATATATAACTATGGGTACAATGGTGATATATGATGTAACCAACAATAAAAAATATCAACTGAGCAGCGTTCAGTACCCGACATGTTGTTCCTTTTTTATACTGGCTGGTCAGTATAGGATCTCGATGATGATAATCCCCAATATATTGGATAGTATAGTTTCTTACAATCATCAGCCAAAAGGGCTTTTGAGCATAGCTCTGGTCGATCATTTTAAGCTTTCTGCATCTGTTTGGGACATTTTGCCGGGGTTCCCCGGCAAAAAAAATGAAAACAACCAATCAGGTGATTATCTTTATATAATTCTTATCTAACCCTCATCCTATGGTCAAAACTTAGAGTGCGCTTTGATTAATCATGGCTCAGCGCTACGGTACCGGGTGTACCGCTTCGATTTTTTTTTTTTCAGTCGGGTAGTTATCACCAACCAACCCCACTTATCCCATCTAAGGATTTCAAATCGAGGGGAAGAACCTTCGATCCCACATGTCACATAGGCCCTGCCAAATAGGAGCCAAGTTTTTTTTTTGGCAGTCATCGCAATCAACGCTGATCAAAGTCTCCGCGGTCTAAGGTGTCATAATATTCTTCCACATCTGCATCCACATTGTCTTAGCTCATAATCCAGCGATTGCTCGGGGCCAGGGCTTGTCTGTATGCCCTCAAGTACTTTCTGTGTTCATACATAGTCCGCTTCAACCTTTTAAGCTAACGTTTGTGCCTCACTCTCTCAGCAAACCTTCCATAGACTCTTTTTGCTATTGACGGTTTCATGACTTGCACCAAGATCCTTGAGCCAATACAAAAGTAGGATGAATCATCAAACAATAGTATCGTTTTAGGAAGAAAAAAAAGGGGTCGGTAGGATACACCATCTATCATGGTTTACCTATTGTCTATGCCACCAAGGATCGTCCTGATCTGCGACGGCTCCAAATCAGCCTTACCTAGGAGGTAGTCGACGTCAAGAAATCAAGGGATGATACGTGGAAGCGATGTGCTGTGATGTGTTGTGCGTTGGAAACTATCAGAAATGGGATGCTGCTGCAATGTGCATATGATATACTTATCTTACATGTAAATAAGTCTAGGCTGCTAACACCTTTTCAACCAATGTCCCTTAGAGTGGATGAGACAAAAACTGGCTGGTGGTATACTTACCCCTGAAAAATATGAAAGTCAGTTGGGATGATGTCATTCCCAATATATGGAAAGTCAAAAAAAACATGTTCCAAACCACCAACCAGAAAGAATCCGAGCAGCACATGGGGCAGCTGGGTCGTTTCTCCAGTGCACGGGTCAAACAACCTCCACAGGGCGTCAAACAAGCCGCGAGGAAGACCCACACCCGGGAAGGTAGCGGCCATTGAAGGGGTAGAGTGCCCCCACACATATGTACAATCTTTAGTATATATGAACATATGCATGAATATCTACAAATATGAACATTTAGCTACATACACAAATAATATACATATATATATATATATGTCACAACTATGAAATACACACATGCACACACACATTTGTATATGCAACTTATGCAACTATATTCATGCAGAATTGACATCCTATTGTGCATGATACATATCCACAATATCCAGTCTACACCCAGTGAAATAATATAGGAAATGTCAATGTTGACTCCTTATCATCAACAAAATCCAACTCCTAATGCCGCCTCGGATCTGCCACTCGAAACAGTGTTCTCCAGGCAGGCTGAAAATGTCGTGATTTTCAGTTGGGTATTTGGACCTCGTTTATATATAGTATTGAACAATAAGACTTTGAAACGTGCAGACACACACACACACACACGCGCGCGCGCGCATACGCGCGCACGCACGCACACGCGCATGCGCACGCACACGCACAGAGAGAGAGAGAGAGAGAGATATATATATATATATATTTATTTAATATAATATAATACATATGTGTAACCGTGTGTATGAGAACAAAAAAACATATATATCATTTCCCATGTGATCACACTCCCAAATTTAGGACCTACAAAATATATAGATAGTCCAACTTACCTTCCAGCAAGGTTTCTGATACACCGCATGGCAACCACACAGTGTTGAACTCTGGCCACGAAACTCTTGCAGAAAACGTGCTGGCACGGTGTTCCAGCACAAAAGACCTGGTCTGCTGGTTGAGCGAGTGACGAGTGATCCATAGTGACCCCATTGGATAATAAAGAGAAGAGCACTGACTTGATTTTAATCTGTTGGATAAATTCGCTATAGTATTTGTTGTTGATGGTTATTCTTGCTGCTTGAAAGGCGTGCGAAGCATGTCCACTTCATGCGATGCATCCCTCTCCCTTTGCACATATCTAGATGTGTATCCAACTATGTTGTCATTATCTTTTCTCTAGATGTATGTCCAAACATATCCAAACATCTTATCTTTTGTCTTGTGCAATTCTAGCATACGTTATCATGTCGTTTAACGAACAAATCTTTCGCCAAGCCGCCGGCTCAGTGAAGACGTTGAGACAAATGCTGCAGCGCAAAGCCCCTGAGACGTTGTCCACCAGTTCATCGTCATTGAGGACCATGGGCCCCCCGCTGCAACGGCAACGGATGAATTCAACTGGAGCCACGCAGCATTTTGTGGGGAGGGTGTTGAATGGGGCCACCAAAACGCAGGCCAGAACTTGGCTTGACTAGAGAGGTAGCTGAAAAGAGCACACTGATTTCCAGTCAACAAGCTGGCTTAGCATGTCAAAACTATACAAGTCCGTGAGCCCTGTTAATTACGGCTTGGTTTTTTTGGTGAGCGGGCCAGGGGGGTAGTGAACCAAAAACCATTGTTTATTTACCCATATGAGCTGTTCAGGCTTATCACTGACCACCAGCAAGTTTTGCACATACACAGAGAGCGTTAATATGGACATATCCTCAAGGTCTTATTTCAAAACATTCCCTACAGCAGCGCGGCGTGGTAGTGATAGGCAGAAACACGCCACTAACTCAAACCAGGAGGAAATTGCCACATAATGCACAAGTTCGTTTTTTGTCCTTCACTGCCGCAAACAGTGAGGGGAATCTTAATTGTCCAAGTATTTGTCGGCATGGCCGGGCCGGTGTACTTGAAAATTCCCCCAAAAAATTGCACAAACAAAAAAAAACAAACTTGACCAAAAGGGATGTGGTGAGCGTTCTGGTGAGCGTTCTGGTGAGCATGCTACCAAAATGATGACCATAGCCCCACTGGTGGTCATCATTTTGGAATGATGACCATGGTCGTCATATGATGACCATAAGATGACCACCAGAACGACCATGGTCATCATTTTAAAATGATGACCGCGTGGTCATCATATGGTCATCATTTTACCCCTGTTTTCGACGCTTTGATGACCATGGGTTTACCCGCTTAGGCGAAGAACGGCCATGGTCATCATCCAAAACACCTAGTGGTGGGCGACAATAGTTTGGAGAATGACCACCAAATGATGACCACCAAAAATGACGACCATGAATGAAGACCACCAAGAGCAAAAAAAAACAACCAAGAAAAAAACACGCCAAAAACAGGCATCAAATGTCGAAGCAGCAGCAATGAAGCATTCCCAAGAGAAAAAATGCCGCCCTTTCTATCTATCAACGTAAGAGCTGGTGATGCCCAAACTTGCTTACAAATGCAGCAAATAAAATGTTTGGGATGTTAAGGGTGCGTATGACGCCTATAAAATGAAAGGCGGGCCCAAGAACCCCTAAGAGGCAGAGATCAGATTTTTTTGTTGTTCGTTCTTGCGTTTTAGCGGCGCCGGGGCCAACAAATATGTGCAGGATGCGCTGAACAGAAATTGGTGAGCATAAAATTGGCCATTAGAAATAAAACAATGTTTGAAATTTACCATTAAGCCCTTTATGTTTTTTCAAAGTTATTAACACACCTCACGGACTTCTATAGTCAAAACTGAAATAGGCTACTAAGCTGTGAGCGCTTTCAATTCCACAAAGAGCACTGTAACAAGGTAGTTCAACAAATATCCAAATATATATATATAAACTAGCATTCAGCCAAGCATAACAATCCACAAATTTATGATTTCATGCGGTCGCAATTTTCCATAGTGGCAATTCTACTACATGATATGCCCTTACTGTACTCAAAAATAATAACGTTGTAAACCCAGCCACTAACATCCACAGGGAATCTATGGGGATCATTGGGGCGAGCTGTAGATGATTTCCACGTATCCAACTGTTCTATCCGTCATTCCCAGTCGTCAAGTTCTATACAGAGAGAAAATGAGAGATGGATAAAAACGCATATATATATATATATGTGATAACTATATGAATATACATATATATTTAAATAAATACATATATATATATATATTTAAATATATAAATAATATATATATATATATAAATGAATACATATATATATATATAATATATATATATATCACCTGTTATAATCTGTTGTAGCAATATTGTATAAAACATTACAAACTACCCATGCAATTCTTTCCCCATTCCATTCTTAACTTCCCACATTCTGTTGGGCATTTTTTGACTTCCACTTCCTCTTTGTTTTCTTTGTTTCTGGTTGGTGGTTTCTCAACCCCCCTGAACAAAATCAGTTCGTCAATGGGAAGGATGACATCCCATATATATCCATATACTATACATTATTATATATATCCCATATATGAAATGGAAAATAAAATTCATGTCCCAAACCACCAACCAGGTTTGGTGGTTCAACCCCATGGCTATTGCTACAACCCAACCCCCCTGCGGCGCTGCGGCGATTTTTCCACGAAACCATGACGGCTACGCCACGAGTGCCGCATCACGGCGAGGGTCGGGTGCCACGCGCTTTTGCCACCTTGGATCAGGCGGATCTGGAAAACCACTTTTTTTTTGGGGCATCCGTGGCATGACGACCAGCCACCATCAACCTATCAGACCCACCCTCTGGTAAACATACAAAAAGCTATTGAAAATGGCAATTTATAGTTGATTTACCCATTAAAAATGGTGATTTTCCATAGTTATGTGAAAGTTTACCAGAGGGTATCACGATTCCATCATCTAAATTCCGATGAGAATGGTCATTTGATGCATCAAAGATCGTATGCCATAGTTTCAAACAAACCCCTTGAACAACATCGAGTAATATATCTAACCATACTTCACAATATCTAACAGTACTTCACAATATCTGACCATACTTCACAATATCACCATAATATATTCTGACAATGTATTTAACCACAATTAATTCTAACCATGGAAATATCGTAACAGTTCTTCACCATATAGTGTTAGTTCCACAGCCATTCCAACAAGTATCACCATGATAGTACAAACCCATTATTCCAATCCCTATTGTGGACGATGAACCCCCTTATCGTTCCATCAATAGGGATATTTGACAATGATAAAGGATTTAACCACAAGAATGATATATCCCTTTACATCCAAGTACTATCAAGGGAGTTCCGAACATGCGGGACCCCACAATCATCCAAAAATGGTAACGGCAGTGATGACCATCCCCTAAACTATACAGATTCTCGTGGGTCCCTTCTCAAAATAGCTGAGATTTCTCAGCCAATCAAGCCCATTACCCTCTGGTAAATTAACATAACTATAAATTCACCATGTTCAATGGGTAAATCAACTATAGCCATTTTCAATAGCTTTTTGTTTGTTTACCAGAGGGTATCCCAATCCCTGTGTTTTTCCATTCATCCAATATTTGGGGTCCGACAAAAGGCTATCCCCAATTCTAATGGATCTAATCCACATTTTCGCCTATGAAAAAAATATATCCCATAATATTACCCAAAAGGATTTAATGTATTACCATTACCACTATCCCAATATGTCCCATATGGTCATATCCCATATAGGGATATATAGGGGGTTCCATACTTGGGGGTTACCCCTTTATCGCTGGATGGTTTATTTCATGGAACATCCACCCATGGATGATTTGCGGGTATCCCATGATTTAAGCCATCCATGGCTTCAATCAATGTCCCAATATATGGCTACAGTGATAATAACCCCAATAAATCCCAATATATCCCATATATTTCATGTGTTTCAATATATCCCAATATATTACCCATTGTCATCATTATCCCAATATATCCCAGATATTCCCTGGTAATATCCCATATAATGTGGTTAATGCATGTTAAAACAATAATAAACTACCCATTTGGGAATGATCAAAATACCACCTATATATATATATATATATGGTGATCTGGGGGATGGTTTATTATTGTTTTAACCACATTATCCCATATGATTTTCCCAATATATCCCAATATATTCCCTGGTCATATCCCATATACCCTCTGGTAATTTAACGTAGCTATTGAAAATTGCCATTTATAGTGGATCTTCCCATTAAAAATGGTGATTTTCCATAGTTATGTTAGTTTACCAGAAGGTATCCCATATGATTTCAGCATATTTCAGCCATCGCCGCAATGTCATTGGCCACCGCCGTAGCGGTCACCAGGACTTCATCATCCACGGCCGACGGTTCTCGGAGACGGGCCCTGGTGCTGACAAATTGCTGCGAAAAGCCATGGGAACCAGCAAGACATGGAGGATTTTCCTAGGGAAAAGGTGAGATTTACCATGATTTACCTAGGAAAATGCTGATTTATGTGGGGAAACATCTGGGATTTCACTAGGAAAATGCTAATTTATGTGGGGAAAATGGAGGGTTTACCATCCAAGAGGAAGGATTTAACGAGGGAAAATTATAGACAATGCGATACAAAGCATCTTGCCCCAAAAACGTGCGTTCTCCAAATGGAAATGGGTGGTTGGCATGCACCATGGCAGATTTATCCAGGTTACATTTAGATTTTACTCGGGACAATGATGATTTAAGTAAAGAACTTTGGGATTTTACGAGGGGAATAGGTGATTTAACCGAGAAACAAATAGATCTAACTGGGGAAAATTGTAGTACATATAGATATAAAATGGGGATTAACCAGATTTGGGGATTAAGGGATTAAGTAAAAGGTTGTTTTAAGCCAACTAACTACCCTCAGGTAATCTCACACCACAATGGAAAACCACACAGAAAAAAGGTCTGGACTGCAGAACATGTGCATATTTCATATCATTCATGGGAGAATGGGGATAAATGGTGACTCACCATACTAAAAAGTAAGGAACATGGGGACAGACTGGTGAACATTGTGACATTGAAAAGGGTAATTCAATGCAAATATCGTTCAAGCTACCCTCCGTGTCAAACATGGCTAGCTGGGAAATCCCCTATTATAGATGCAGCTTTGTGCGGGTAAATCATCGCACTGAGAGGTTTTCCATGGTGCCTTGTTTTTCGTAGCAAAGGGTATCTGCCATCAATATCTGAGCTCCTATCAACTATCAGCTATCAACTAGGAAATCACCTCTCCATCAAATCATGTTTTCTTTTTGTTTTGCTGCAGCTCAAACATGTTTCCTCGTATTCGGACCTCGTATTCTGCCTTTGTGGAGACTTGAAAAACATGTTTCCTGCCATGTGGTGCCTCCTACTTCGCAAAGTTGGTTTACAACCAAAATGACTATAGGCCTTTGCG